TTGGTTCGGAACTTTCCGATTTAGAGCGTCGAACATGTCGTTCACTCGCTTGCAAAACTCAATAGTCGCTTCACAGCCTTCTAATCCTTGACACTTTTGAGATACGTAGAACTGAAGCCCATTCGCCACTGAATTGCTGAATATCTGATAAAAAATCATTTTAAAAATGTATACCAATAAATTATTCGAATACATAAATTATTCAAATCGTATCATTTGCACCTGTGTTGCGAGCTTAACACGCATTTTAGCAGTGTTATCCAATTCTACGTGTCTTAAAGTCAGCCGAGGACATGCTCGAGCGTTTCTTAATTGGTTACTGTCCAATTTGTGTAGAGTTTTAAAATATTCCCACTTGATCGGATTATCCCTTGCGTTTATCTACAATAAAATATACGTGCCAAACGAGACGTATAGTAGTAAGAATTCTATCAATGTATTAATATAAATTTATATACATACTCTTAGTATTTTTTTGTTGTATAAACGATTTCTGATATTCTTCACAAGATGAGGAACATCAGAGAATATAAACACGCGGCGATCATTATCCGAGGGATGAGTAAACCATGTCTGAGTCTCATTGATTGAGCTTTTTATGCCCAGAATTTTTCCCATCTTCGTATTTGTCGCAGCTCCATCGGAAACAATTCCATGCACTATGGCCCCAGATTCCTCCAACAAAACGATTGCTTTAATGGCTAGTTTTGCTAGTTCGTCGCCCTTCACGGGATTTTTTGATGCAAAGACTGCTATTGGCTGTGTGTAGGTGTCTGCGAGTGGTTGAAACATTAACACAAGTCCGTGAGTCGCTTGATCTTCTATACTCGTTGCTTGGGGTCCATCGTCACCAAAATCAACTAATCCTGTATAGGTAAGGTTTTTCGAGCATACGGAAATTGATTTCATCGAGCAATAATATTCCGTGGCGTTGCATCGGTTTTTTGAAAGCAAAACTTTTTTTTAGCAGTTTGAAAAAATTACTATCAAAACCACATTTTGTGTTAATCATTGTAAAATAATTTCGAATAGTTCGGGTACACGGTAATGAGATAACATTGTTTTTTCGTAAAAATTCGTAATATCCATGTGAACGTATGTTCATTAACATACAGAGCATTATCCATTCTTCTGAATATCGATGACCTCTCTTTTGTGTTTTCGCTGAAGTTATTATTTCTTTCAACGTATTTTGCTGTGTTGTTGGTATATTCAAAGAAAGAATTTTTTTCTCCAACGTTTCGTCCTGAATATTTGCCAGCTCGTTTTGCTTCGAGTTTAACTCATCTTGCAACACAGTGATTCGATATTTTGATCGATTTTTTAATCGACGCGTTTGGCTCAATTTTTTTCTCAAGGCATTAATTTTTTTTTGATCAATTGAATTTGCGAGACGCACGACTTTCTTCACTTGATCACGCTTTTTAAGACGTGCCTGTTTTTGCAGCAACGTGCTTTTCAATCTTTTGCAATGTTTGCACCTTTTTCCCTTGGTGGTCAATTCACAATCGATGATGCCAATCATTGCTAGAAGTTCGATACGCGATGTCTCGTTGAATAAAACATTCTTCAACTGGCCCAACTCTTTGACAAACTCGCATGCGCTCGAATTTCGATAAAATAACAGGGAGCGACGTTACATCGTTCATATTTTGCAAGATCTTAATTTCATGAATGTCGACCGATTTTCCATAAATCTTATAATCAATTATGCCATCTACGTCGATTATGACACTTTTGTCTACAATAGGACCATCTGTGTCATTATTGGTCATCAACCGTACGTGTGAAAGTACCAAACACCGTTTTGTTCCTCTATATAATTCAGTGAAACCCCACGAGTTTGGTATTGTGATTGACAAATCTTTGTACGCTACAATATATAGAATACAATATATGTAACGATATTATTCAATTGTCAGGCCTTAAGGGCCTTGGCACATAGAAAAACTTAAACAGTAAGACGTAAACAGTGCTCGGGCCCTAATTCTTATAATCTCTGCAAACGTTCGTACCAGCGCCATATTTAGGATTCGTGTAGATGACAGTATAAAAACTAATCGGATGAACTCATTCTTAAGCAAAGATTTATAAACGGAACTTTATTGATACAGAAACGATTACTAAAAAATGGAACTTTATATATATAGAAACGATTAATGACGCGCCTACTTTCTCCGCCGCTGTTGCTGGTTCTATTTCCATTATCCCTAGGCGATCCTCCAATATTCTCCTCTCGAGTGAGGAGGCCCGTTCCCACATATATATCCATTCATATTTCATGTTTATGCATTATTGATTGTTTGATGAATTTATTTATTTATTTATTTATTTATTTATTTATTTATTTATTTATTTAAACTATTGTTACAAATTTATTTTATTTGCTTATTTGGAGGGGTAACTTATACCACAGTGGTATAAGTTAAATTTTTAAAAATATTTTTTTGTGTGCATAGATGCAATTTATATATTGTATAGATTGCATATATGCACGCAAAAAAAACATTTCAAAACATTTGACTTACACCACTATGACTTTTACCTCTCCATTTATTATTTACCCCTCCTTTTACTTCTCCACTTATTTCTGTCTAGCGTATATTATATATTAATGTCGAGACTCTGTCGCGTTAAATACATTTTTATTTTATTCATTTTTATATAGTTAGTATAGATACAATAATAGCAACACTTACACGCCATGCTGATAGTCTTTACGAGCCTTAGGTCAACTGAGTCCGATGTTTTCTCAGTGAAATTATTTATTTCTTTAGGAACGAGATTGTCGTACCTATGCATCCATCAGAAGACTGAGGACTTTGCTGATGATCAATTACACTCTTCGAATTTTCTGCATTCATATTCGCGCTATCAGAGAGCGAAAACTCGTGAATGTCATCGGCTATAATAGAGTGTATAATATAATAACTATTACGAAAATAGCATCATGAAGTGGCTGCATATAGTAGGAATTAATTGCTGGATTGCTATTTGAATTCATGGAATACAATAAAGCATGATAATATTTACTTGTCATATCAATAGATTCTGGAACAGGCAATGTGATATCGATGGATTTTGATAGTGTACAATGCACGTCTGAGTTAAGCAATCCATTACTCGCAGCATCAACTTATAACTTTTTATCCTGCAAATTCTCATCCTTGGAAACCGTTACAGTCGAGGAAGACTCATAGAAAATTGTAGGTACAGCAGATTTAGATAATCGAGTTCGCTGGTACTTAGTCTGAATGAATTAAATAAAATCAACTACAAATTGAGTACCTAATTTTTAAAGTCTAGAAATCGAGGTCCACTGGGACTATTGTATCTAGCTTTTAATCTAGTCATAAGAACTTGAATTTGTGACAGAAAAAGTAAAATTTCCCCTGATGTCAACGCTTGACTCATTTACTCCTCGAAGAGTCGCCAAAACTTGGCCATTTGTTTAATTGTCGATGTATGTATCCTCTGTTTGTCTCATTTGAATGTTTGTTGTGTTTTGCGTTATTCGTTATTATTATTATTATTTATTATTATTTATTATCATTTATTGAATAAATTATTAGAGCCCTGTCAGCCAAAGAACCCCGGCCGTGGTAGGTGAAGGATAAAATATCCTATCTCAAATTATAGTGTCAACATATAGATATATTCAGGGATTGGTAAAAAAATTACCATTTTTCATTTTTTAATTATTCACAAAATGAGTAGATAATAACACCAAATTAAATGTTTATAGAAACAGTAAATTAGTAATTAGTCACAAAAAATTATAATTAATTTATTTTTACAAATTGGTAATTAGTAGACATAAATTTTTTATTATTAAAATAATTAATAGTTTGTCGAAATAAATTACTAGAAATTATTAGAAAATTAATAATTAGTGGAAAATAATTACTAATTTTCTCAATAATGAATAATTAGTTTCAGGTAAATTATTAATTATTAAAAAATTATTTAACTTAAAATTATCTGGTTTAACATAAATAACTTAATTACTACATTTATATATTATATATGTATATATATATATATATATATATATATATATATATATGTAACATTAATAACATTAGTTTTTTAACCACATTTAAATGTAGTAATTAAAGTTATATATGTTGAATTTTTTGTGACTAATTGCTCATTTATTAAATTGCTCACTTATATCAATAATTAACAAATAAAAAATGGAGTTTTTTGCCGATCCCTGGATATATTATTAAAATTTCTTTTAATGTGACAAAATATTTTTTTTATAACTGAGCTTACCTCGGCTAGGACATTTGCTTGTGCATCGCGCATTACAAAATTCCTTATTATGCATTCTTTATCAAAATGTTTTTCACATACAAATTGATTGGGTTTCAGGTCCTTTATGCCAGGGATTGCGGATATCCATTTTTTACGCAATTCGTCACGTTTTGGGACTTTGAAAACTGAACAATTTATTTTCAGATTTTTGCACCCAGTCTTGCAATTCGGCACGACACAATATTTCGTTAATTTCATTGTCAATTAATCACTTTCTAGAACTTAATTCTTACGTTCGTTACATTTAATATGTCAATATGTAATATGTTATAACATATGACATACGTCATATGTCGTGTTATATGTTTATGTCAAAATATATTCAATATGTATTTGCGTTATTTAAAAAATCTCTAACCTCCAGCGCTCCAGGCGGTGATAGTGTCAACTACATAAAATGACTTCACTAAGCGAGTCACCCCCCACTACTAGAGTTTCCAGACCTGTATTCACGACCGTGGTCGTGAGGTTAATATTGACGTGATCTCTCATTATTAATTACAATTGTTTAATTTCAAATTTCGGTTGCGTCTTTACTCAAAAATCGAAGTGCTACGAAGTTATGGGTGTCACAAGAGGCGAAATATCAGCAGGTCGCCGGAGATAGGTAATGACAGTCGTGATCGTTACTATGTTTAGGCGGGCGTTACTTCTGTAGTAATTTACAATAATTAACTCGTTTACGCGGGATGAATTATTATCAGTTACTACAAAATCCTTATTTACGTGGAGGATTATCATGTAAGTTACAGAAGTAACGCTCGCGTAAACGTAGTATATGACAGATAGTGTGTGTGTGTGTATGTACATAAGCGTGTGCGTGCGTGTGTGTGTGTGTTGTGTGTGTGTGTGTGTGCGTGTGCGTGTGTGTGCGTGTGCGTGTGTGTGTGTGTGTGTGTCCGGAGTTTGATCAAAATAACTATTTATAAATCTTTCTGTTCATTGTTGCATTGCAGAAGACTACAATCGATGGCGAAGATGACAGTGAAAGCGAATCTGACTGGAGCAGCGATTCAGACAGTGAGAGCACAAGTAACGATGACCACTATCAAAATATTCGCGTTTCATCAAAAAGTACGTTCTCTCAACCTATAAAATTGAGTAAAATTATTTTTTACTTAATAAAAAATAATAAATTTAACGATATATTTTATGACACCATAATTTTTTTTTTTACATAAGAGCCTAGGAGGAGGACGATTAACCTCGCGACACGACTCGAGCTATTACATCTCGATCACACGACGCACATGCACACATGACGAAGGCAAATATCAAAATATTCGCGTTTCATCAAGAAGTACGTTCTTTCAATCTATAAAATTGAATACAATTATTTTCCATTTAATAAAAAATAATAAATTTAACAATATATTATATGACACCATAATTTTTTTTTTACATAGGGCTTTAGCCCAGGAGGAGGACGAGGATAAAGTGAAGAGGAAGGAGCAATGTAAAGAACGCAAAGAAAAAGAACGAGAAAAGAAACGTGACGAAGATGATGGCAAAAGAAAGTGGGAAATCCTGGGTGTCGTGGCTATTCCCTCCAAGAAACCGAAGATGTTCGTAAAGGACGTAGAAATTAATATTGGTGCGGTGTTGAAGAAACTTTCTGAGATAATTACAGCTTGTGGTAAAAAACGTACGGACAAACGCGAGCAAATAGAGCTTTTGCACGAGCTACAATTGATAGGCGACGTTCATACTTTCGGCCCGGTTATAATCATAAAGATTAAGTTTTCCATTGTGTCTTTTACATTTGATTACAATCCAAAAGTTTCTGATGCTATAAAGCCGGAGTATTGGTCGAAGTACGTATTTGTGTATAAAATAGATATATGTATGTACGTATGTGTAATGTAAATTTATAAGTCCTCTAAAATAGAAGATTTAAAATAAGCAAGTGTGAAATAGATAATTATTTTTGTTACAGAATATTGGAGCGTATTATGGTAATAGCGAAACAATAATGGAAGAAATGCAAAAGTTTGAAATGACGCTGTATAAAATAGATGATTGTGTGTTGACACTGGTGGAACGTTTCGATGAGGAATTCATAAAGTTGTTGAAGGAATGTGATTTACACAGTAATGAATACGTGGAAAGGTAATACTTTTTGAGATAAATTATGCGAAAAATATTTTTAACATAAATATAAATACAGTTATAATTGATAACATATACGGAGGGTTAAAGTTATAGTGATGTAAGTCAATTTTTTTATTACTTCTTTTTTTTTCTTTCAACATATCTGCGTGTGTAGATTGCATCTATAAACTTAACTCAATAGGTTAAAAAAGGTGACTTACACCACTATGGTTTTAACTCCATATATATATATATATATGTATTATGGGGTGAGAGAGAGAGAGAGAGAGAGAGAGAAACTTTATCTTGAACAAGATTGTGTAAAGAGATGTGCAATGTAAAATTTTTCTTATTTTAGATATATCGATGAATTTAATGTTCAAGATCAAATGGGACTAGTTATTGCTTATAATACAAATATTCAACAAGCGTAGAAAGTTGATGATATTACAAATATAGAGTTCGAAGAAAATTCATGTACATTTAAGATATATGGAGAGGTAATAATAAAAATTATTATCGTTTCAAGAATATTGAGCATTTCACAAATTAATGTTTATATTAAATACATATTTTATATTAGATTGGGATGCTCCCGGACGGTAGGAGCGAATAGACGGCTCAGGGAAGGAAGCGCAGGGAATCCGGAGTAAAAGGAAAAGAAAAGGAAGAAGAACCTCAGAGGAGCGATGGGATCGACGGAGGAAACATAGAGGAAGAAGAGAAATTGAAGGGAACGTGCCTAACAAGCAGTGAGGCAAGAACGAGAGAACACAAAAAAGAATAGACGTACAGGTTAGGACCGAAGAGGGAAGCGGAAGGAGGGGAAGAGAATGATGGCGACGGAGAGCTGCGCAGGCGCGCTGGAGAAGGAGCGATCGGAGGGCTGCAGTGCAGGACAGAAGCGGTGAGAGGAGATGGCGCAAGACGCGAAAACACCGACTGCGGCCGAGACGGCGCGGGGTGCCGGCCCCTCCAAAAGAGCGGGTTGGCACTACTGCGGGGCGTCGAGGCGCGGTAACGGTGCAGATGCGAGCGACAAGCGCATGCGCGGAGTGAGGCTGGGGAGAGAGACGAGACGGCGCTGGGAGCGGGCAGGGCTGGCAGGCCTGAAGAGGAGCAATACGTCGAGAAGGCACACGCGCAGAGCGAGGGCGGGAGGAGAGATGGCGATGGGAGCAGGCGGGGATGGCAGACCTGAAGAAGACGCGATAAAGTTGGCGTACTGATGAAATGCGCGGAAGACGAGAAAGACATAAACGAGAGGTTAGAGGTAAAAATAGAAGTAGAGTGAGAAAAAGGAACGCCCCGAAAGAAAAACGGATAGAAAGTAAGTGAGTAATGTAGATAAAAATAGAAGAGAAAGCGGAGAGAGAGAGCAGAGGCAGGTAAAGATAGAGAGGCAATCACAAGCACTAACAATTTTCAATATAGTGACAGGAAGGGAGAGTATGACGAGGACCGAACAAAGGGCGGAGGAAAAGGACTGGATAAAAGAAGTTATAAAGGAAATAAGGGAGGTAGGACAGAAGATAGAGAGGCAGACCAGAGAAATGAAGAAAGAAATGAAAGAGATGAGAAGACAAATGGAAGGGCTGGAGAAACGACAAAGGAAGATCGAAAAGAGCGAGGAGCAGGAAGAGACAGAGGAAAGAGATTCGGATGAGAGCAGTGAACGATGGGAGGAAGAGACGGAAGAGGCGAGGGAGTGCAGCGACGGAGCGGTAAAGGGGAAGAAGGCAGTAGAAGAGGAAGAAGAGTGCGGCGTCGAGGGATGGAACGAGGGAGTATGGAAAGAAAGCTGGTGGAAAGAGATAGAGAAAGAAGAAGAAAGGGAAAAGGAGAAAAGGAAGTGGAAGGAAGATGCAAAAAGAAAAGAGGTCAGAAAGAGTGATGATGAATTAAATAAAAGAGAAGAGGAAAGAGACTATAAAGAAAGGAGTGAGGCCAGAGGAGACAAAAACGAGAGAAAAGTCAGAAGCAAAGAAGAAGAAAGTAAAAGCGAGAAAGAAAAGGCACGACGAACAGCAGAAGACATGGAGGAGGATGTAAGAAGAAGAAGAGAAAAGAAAGAAAGAGAGAAGAAGCAGAAAGAAGAAAAAGAAAATAGAGAGAAAAAGCAAAGGAAGAAAAGAAGAATAATATGGAGGAAAGTAAGAGGAGAAAGTCCAAGGGAAAGAAGAGAAATAGTGGAGATTATAATGAAAAAAGTAACAGGAAGAATAATCCCGGTAAGAGGAGTAATAGAGGCAATGGGAACGGACAAAAAAGAATTGATGTTTATGGAGCTGGAGGAAGAAGAGGACAAGGAAGAAATAATTGAAAAAAGCGACGAAATATGGAGAAGATGGGAAGTAGGTGTAGATGAGGAACTAACAATGGAAGAGAGGGCGTATAGACACAAATTGGTAATTAAAGCAAGAGAGGAAAGAGCGATAGGAAGATCAGCTGTAGTAACAAATAGAAGGCTGTGGATTGACGGGAAAGAGGTAAAATGGGACGAAAAGGGAGAGAGATGGAGGAGGATGTAAACCGACAAGGAAGAAACCAAAGAAGCAGAGAACGGATCAGAAGGAATGAGAGGAAAGAAGTCGAGGAGGAAAACACGAAAGGAAAACCGGGAAAGAAAAAGAGGAAGGAACAGAAAGAAAGTCACAGGAAACAATAGGACCGGAAGAAAAAGGGGAAGGAACGAGACAAGGGGGGCATCTTGAAGCTTGAATTGTTTAGAATCAATATTGCGTATGGCAGAATGTAAAGGTTTTTGGGAATGTTTGAAATGTATAGAGTCAGTATTGTGTATGGCAGATTGTAAAGGTTTTTGGGAACGTTTTTACTAAAAAAAACGCCTTTCCAACCCGGAAGGGAGTGAAATAAAGACTTATTATATATATATTACATATTTTATATTAATTTATGAAACAGAGTACATATGATAGTTAAATGTCCATAAGTGTGTTCTGTTTCACGTATGATGCGCATAATACATCACTTATCCATGTTTAATATTCGGTAAACAATTAGCTATTATTATTAATATAAAAAAGTGTACAAATTAGAAATTTGCATATTGCTTTCTCACCATTTTAAAATGTTTAAATTAGAAATTTATACATTGCATCATCATTTTATTTCACTCACTTATAAAGCTCTTCTACTGAGGAAGCTTATATTTTATTTGATACATAATTATTAATATTTATTAATTTGACTTTTTCATAAAGGAAGCTTTATGAGTAAAATAAAATGATGAAGCAATGTGCAAATTTTTAATTTGTACACTTTAAAATTGTGAGAAAGCAATATGTAAATTTATAATTTGCAAACTTTTTTATTATATTGGCAATTTTTTCTAATTTTATTATATTCTTCAGTCTTTTTTATCTCTATTTCATATATACTGCTTATTGCATATTCATTATTTTCTTAGCTCTTCACGATTCGGAATGTTTGATTTGCGTGAGTCCTTTTGCCTCTCACAATTCGGAGATGAATGTGCCCAAGCCTTTAATCTTGGCCGTGTCGAACTCGTCAAAGTATTGGGAATCGGTGCCACATGACAGAAGAATAAATCAATTGTAATGTCATATGAAGGAAATATCGCGTCAAAATGAAAATCGCTTTGATGTTAACTGAAAAACCTTCTGTGGCAGCATCCCTGGCCAATATATTGAGTAATGGACGATGTAATATCAAAAAACGTATGTTAATAACTTGAATTGTTTCCTTCTTCAGCTTTCTTTTTCCTTCTTCCTCATTTCTATAATAATAAACTTTTTCTACGAATATCTTTAGGACTGAATGGCTTTTGTTCCGTCCACGAATGGGTAGGTCATTTTAGATCTGAGACTGTAAATTTTAAAATGACCTCTGTATGTGAACACGTTATGACAGTAGACTTTGTTGTGCCCTCTTTTTACGGCGGGACACCAGGGATCGTTTATCCACGGAGGAGGCGGGATTTATTAACAACACTTTGCAATAAATGACAACTTTAATTAATCCACTTTGCGTACAATGATTACTCGCGTGAAACGCCCGTCGCTTTGAGACTCCAATTGCCCTCTCCTCTCCTGTTGTCGCTTCCTTTTCAATCCTCGTCTTGTCCTTCGATATCGCTGAGTTGCTCGATCGTATCTGGGCCGATCGCGCAACTCATCTTTTGCTGATTCGGCGTTGCGTAATTCTCTCGGGCTTTCGCGGTCGCGTTCCCTATTGTTATTCTCGGTCTTTCTTAATATTATTATTTTATACTATAATATAATTATTTTATTATTACATTTTGATTGGGGCCGCAACATCCCTCCCCCTTTGAGAGAAGGAAACTACGGTCGGTAGTTTTCGTTACAATTTTTCGCTGCTTATCCTATTTCTATTTCTATTAGGGTGGTTTATTTTCTTTATTATTTTTGTTTCTGAGGTTACATTCTTCTTCTTTTCTAGTATAGTATCGCTGAGTCGCCCCGTACGTGCGGTCGGGCGCTCGCTCGTTTTTTATGTCTTTTTATTACATAGGTGATTATTCCTACTATGCTTAATATAATTATTAACGTAAGTGTTGATCCTACGGGATATATGACATAGGGATTTTTTATTAGGGTGTCTTGGGATTTTTCCAATTCTTTATTTATATCGCTTATTTCTAGACTTAACTCCATTAATTCGTTCGGATTCCTGATTACAGGTTCTAATCTAATTTTTTTTTTCGCTTGTTCGTTAATATTTTTATTTGTGTTTGTTAGCGTTAGGTTAAAATCTGCTAGGTGCATTTCTATTTGTCTCATAGTCGTTTGTCTTTTTGTTTTTATAATAATGTCGGGTGTGGTTAGTTTACAATTTTCGTTTATACTTAGTTTTCCTGTTCGTTCGATTTCTACCTTTTGTTCCGCCTGATCGTTACATTGGATCGCTATCTTTTGTTTTCTCGGCGCTGAGAACAACCACGCCTGTGGTTCGCTCAACGCTACCCACAAGGTTACGTCTGACACCATTTGCCGCCTCTCGCAGGCGTTTACATATCCCGGCGTCCCCACATAAACTTGCACTTCGCAGGGTGCGTTGGTCCCCACAAAATATATCGGGCAGTTTCGGTCACATACGTAATCTGCTCCGTTTCGTTTACAGTCGTTTAAATCGCGTTCCTCTAGCGTTATGTAATTATGATTCTCTTTGTCTATGGCTAATATGTTGTGAGTAATTCTTAGGAATGTGAAAATATTTGCATGGTTAGGGACAGGTAATGGTGTCGTTCTTATTATGTCATACACGGGGTATGCTACCACGGGAAATTTGATTATCGTATAAATGTTCGGTTTATCGTAATATGCGCTAATTTCTACATAGTTTTGTATCTCGTTCCAATTTTCTACTCTAGTTTTAAACGGAAAGTGGGATCCCTGCGTCAATTGTGACGTTGCTTCTTGTAGTTCGGTTATTATTTCTTCTATTGGCAATAGGCGGGTGAGTATTACTCCTTCCCGCGAATATGTGAGGTAGTCTATGGTGTCCTTCACGTCTTCCATTAGATCCTCTGTGATTGTGGTTAGTATTAAAAGCTGTTCGTCTATTTCTTCTCTTTTGGCGTACAGTGCTGTTTCCAGCTGTATCCGTCTCGTGACGTTCGCCATCAGTTGTTCGTTGTGGTATAACGATTTTTCTAAGGCCTCCATGTGGCCTATCGTGGCATTCATTACCTTTAATTGACTTTTAGCGGTGTGCCGTAGAGTCTGTTGCTGATTTTGTATCAGTTCAAGCTGCTCCTGTATGTGTTTTGCGTCGTCGGCATCCATAGTGCCGAACAGCGTTTTGCTGATCGTGCCGATCGCGTCTATTAACCCTCGCTTATTATTAGTTGTTTTATATATAGTCTGTAATCGCGTTAATAATTGCGTTAATTTTTTGTTATTTTTCTCTATTATATGGAGAATGTTTTTGCACGTCTGCTGCGTGTCCTTTGCGATTATCATTTCGCATACTTCTTCGGCTTGCTGTAGAAATTCCTGAAGTTGGTGATATCGGTTTCCTAGGGCTGCTACGTCGATTTTAATCGCTAGTTTCCAAGTAGCTTCTACCTGTTGCAATTGTCCGGTTCTCTCAAAGTATATTCCCGGCTCGCTGCTGAATTGTCGTATCTCGTACGATGGTGCTGTCTCAGGTTTCGCTTTTTTCGCGAAGTGCTGGACGACGATCAGCGTCCAGTAAGATAAGGACTCATGTTACCTTTCTTCGAATTTTTACCTTGGCTTGATAATGCCTTCTCCTTGCGTTTTTTCTCTCCTCGCGCGTTTAGTTGCTCTTGCGACGTGATTCAGAGAGAGTACTTTTCGTTGCGCTAATTGTGAAATGCGGTGCCGTCTTTGTAACCGATTTTTTGTCCCGACGACGTGCGACGCATGCTGGCGCACGTATTGGCTCCGCGCTGCCCGTGCGGGTGCCGTAAGTGAGGGTGCCGCGCTTAGTGCGCGGATGGCGGCGAATTTGGGTTTGGGGCCGACGTCGCCCCCTCCCACCTACGCAGAAGCGTTGCTAACGCCCCCGGATTCCTCCTAGATGCGTCTCCTCTACCCCCTGGAGATCACATTGGATGTGGCCACCGGACGTCGTGTGGTGCGACGTGTTTGATGTTCGGTAAGTACTTATTGTCTAATTTTCGTTAGTTTTTACTATCGCCTATTTTCTATTGCCTACTTCCTATTGCTTGTTTTTGTTCTTCTACGCTGTTTTTACTGTTCTATAAAGGGCTTTAATCGGTTTACGTGTACTCGCGTGGTTTTCCGTCCCTTTTTGATCGTATAATTTACGTCTGAGTGTTTTTCAATTACTTCGTACGGTCCTATCCACGGGGATTCTAATTTTTTCGATCTCCCTCTATGCACCGTTTCGTCGTGCAGGAGAACTTTGTCTCCCACTCGGAAATTGATTTCTTTTGTTTTCTTATCATACGTCTCCTTGGCCTTAGATTTTTCGTTTCGCAAATGTTCCTTTGCAACTCGTTGTGTCGCTCTTAATTTTTTTTTTAGCTCTTGCGCGTAATCGTCATAAGTATACGTTGGTTTCGGTGGTTGCGACAGTGCCGTCGGTAGTGTCGCTCGGTGCCCGTATACTAATTCAAAGGGTGTAAACCCGGTCGCTGTGTGTGGCGTCGTGTTATACGCGAACATTGCGTATGGCGTCCATTCGTCCCAGTCTGTCTGGTCCGCGTTAATATAATGTCGCAAGTATTCGGCTAATGTTCTATGAGAGCGTTCCAATGCTCCATTACTCTCGGGATGGTAGGCCGTTGTTTGAATTTTTTCTATTTTCAATAATTTACACGTGCTTTTAAATATCTCGCTAAGGAAATTCGTTCCTCTATCCGTCAGTATTTTGTCGGGGATACCGTATTCAAAGATAATCTTTGTGACAAATTCTTTCGCGATTGTATTCGCTTCTTGATTAGGTACTGGTATCGCCTTACTGAATTTCGATAAATTATCCTGAAACGTGAGGATATATTTATTTCCGTTTTCGGTCACCGTCAGTGGTCCTACTA